CCCAAGGTTATCTATACCCCAAAGTATGGGTAGTGGTCTTATGACACCCAGTAGGTACTCAAATATGTACTGAGGCACAGATAGGAAGACAAATTCATTAAAAGAATTTTTAAATAAGATAGCCTAAAAGCCAAATGAAAAATACTTTTGTTAATTATGAGACTCCCAACTCCTATTGACAAAGGAGTTACAAAACGGATATACTTGTTTTTACTTTCAGCCTACCCTACTACCTCAGTCTAGTCTTCAAAACTACTCACTTTCCAGTTTCATGACGGTAAAACAGATTTCAACCAAAGATCAGTAAGCACCATCTTCAGACACTGAAATCAAAGGTGCTGAAGCAGAACGGATACAGACAGGTACCTTTCAACTCAAGGAACATCCCAAAAGTACTATGAAATGTACTGCTATTTAATTGCTTGCTACTGTCTTCCAAGCATGTATTTCTTCCTCTTACCACTTCTTCCCTCTGCTTTTTCTTTCAACAGGGTCAAATTATTATACATATCAAAACTCACAATCTCGCCCTTATTTCTACACATACTTTAACCCAAAAAGCAGACAATACAGTGATAGCTTTCCATATCACGATTGGAGGAACTACTGATAAACCCCAGTATAATCCGATCATTCTCCTCCTCCACCTGCCCTACGTCACTCCAGTTAAGTGTTCTAAGCAGTCCCTAAAATAGTACCAATATCCATTTAAACAGAACTGGAAAAAATTCAAACTGCTTTGGGTAAGGCCTAAAGGTGAGAACTGTTTGTTTTTCTCGTGTGAGCCTAAGACTATTTTTGTTAAACATTTTTAGCTTTAAGTATATTTTCTTCACAAACCTCCTCCAAAACAGCAGCAAAAGCACAATGGAACTCTGTAACCATCACCCTCAATCATGTTTAAAAATAATAATAAAGACAAGAGAAACCACTTCAAATGTACCTCTCCCTTGAGCCCACAGAACAGCACTCTTCCATGACAACTGTTCTGAAAAACACACTGCCATTATTTGCAAAAGCAGTAGGAAGTCCAGTCTTGTCCTTGGTTGAGCACTACCCCCTCCCCTCTCTCCAAGAAAAAATAAAACAGCAGGAAGCGTAAACAACCACTTAATGGGAAATACAAATGGGTAAATATTTTCAAAATTGGCTAAAAAGCCTCAGGTCTTCAGAAATTCAGGAATACTAGCGTAGGGGGAAATAGGAAGAGAAAAATACCATTGTATTTCCCCCTCAAAGTGAGCACTGCAAGAATGCAAGAGCAAATGGGGTGGGGTGCATAGCTACTTTCTCTTCTTCAAGTACCGGATGCTGTTGTCTTTTTAATATTTCTCTCTCATTCCGTCTTTTCATAAATAATGGTACTTTCAAAAAGGGGCATATTTCTCTAGCTCCATAACAAATTTTTACAATTTTAAGCTGAAAGCCTGGTACAACTGAGCATGGTGATGAAAAGCCAGGGGCGGGTCCCTTCCCTTGAAAAGTTCACGTGGGGAAAACGCTTGAACTCAAGGCCCAAAACTGACATGCCCTCTTCACAGGGTCCACAACTATAGACGGCACAGTTATACACAGACCAACAAAGCTGCAAGGCAGCTACTTCACGAAGCACCTTGGTGAGAATCTGAAAAGGGTGCCCCCTCTTCTGAGAGGACACACGTCCACGCGAATTGCTCATTTTGAGAAGTGGAGCACAAATGAATTTGCACTCCCACTTGTCACCCAAAACAGGTGACTTCGGGTTGGGCACAATCTATACAACCTCACACAGCAGCCCTGCAAAAATATGGGGTCCCCAAAACCTGGGGACACACTGCCCTTTCAAGGTAGGTTTCCAGAAAGAAGAACCTTACCAAAGACAAACAAGCATTTTACACATTTCATTACCAGAAATCCTCATATTTGTTAATATAAATTAATTCCTAAACCTATTAGGACTAGAGCAAAAAGGGTCTGGCAGAGAAGTAAAACTAGCAAATTTGGGAGAAAGGAAACTTCCATCTTGAGGTGATAATCAGTTGTTATTTAAGACCCTAATCTTTGACTATAGGTTCAAATAGCTGAAATTCAAATGCATGTCATAAGCTAAGGCACTAAAAGAATCTCTACCATCTGTAGAGAAAGGTTGGATCACATACATTTACTATTGGGGATTTCCTTTCTCCAAATCTGCTGGTTTTCCTTCTGTTAGTGCACCCCCCCCCTTTGTTTTTGTTTTTTGTTTGTTTGGGGTTTTTTTGCTCCTATCTTAACTATAAAACCCCATATAGTGAGCGACACAAGTGGTTAAAGTTTGTAAAACCTGATAAATAGCCCTGATGGATAATGGGCCCCTTAGCTACCTGCATGAAAATAAGAGGAAGAGATGACCAGATTATGAATGCCTTCACATTCAACAGCTTCCAACCCCATCACTCTTTTATGCCCTATAAAAGAGCTAAGTATCACATGGGTCCAAATTAGTCCCAGTTAGGCAGGAGAGGCAAGAGAAGGCAGCCTAGGGCAAAGCTAAAATGGAGTACAGCCCAGAGTCAGGAGCCTAAGGCAGTGGTTCTCAAATTTTAGTGGTCATCAGAATCTACTGGGGAACTTTGTCAGAATCAGATGTCTGGGTCCCTCCCTGCAACAGATAAGTTAGAACGTCCTGGAGCACTTATATTTTGACAAAGCTCAAACTGCTGACCTAGGTCCACCAGAAAGTTTAGAAACACTGGGAAATCCTCCATGCCTATCAGCAGTTCCAAAATAAAAGTCACCCATCGCAATACCAGGCTTTGCAGGTCAGAAAGGGGTGAGAAAAGGATCACCAGCCTGCAAGTCTAACAGGCTGTGCTGGACTGGAGTCTGTGGCAGAAGTTTCATTTTTATGGGACAAAAATCCTGCACTCGATAAATAAGAAAATGTTCTGCATGTGAGAAATATTTCAAACATCTGAAAAATATTTAAAATAATATATTGAATATCTCTGACCCAACACCCAAAATAAGCAAATCCTAATTTGCAATTATCTGATTCAGGTTTCTTGGTAATAGAATATTAGATATAATTAAAGCCCTTGGTGTACCCCTGTCCAATCCCATTCTTCATCTTTTCTTCCCAGAGATAATTTCTACTCTGAATTTGGTGTTAGTTGTTACCATGCATGTTTTTATATTTTTACGACATAGGTACATAGCCCCCAAACCATATTATTTTGCATGTTTTCACATTTTATACAAGTGCAAACATTTTGTAAGAAATCTGTAACTTGTTCCCCCACCCCATATTATGTTTGTGAGATTCATTCATTTTAAAGCATGAGGCTGTGGTTTATTTTTCACAGAGCTGTAAGACTCAATTGTGTGGGACTACCTAACAATTTATGCATTCCCCTTGTTGGTGGACATTTGAGCTGCAATGAGCATGCTTATACTTTTTCTTACTTATTTTCTTGGACGACTGTATTACTTCCTAGACGCAGAAACAGACATTTTGGGTAAATAAGTATGTTAGCCCTCCAAAAAGACATAACTACACTACTGACCAAGGTAGTTGTATCCATTTACATTCCCACTAGCAGTAAATAAAAGTTGACTTCCCCACAACCTCACTAACACTTGATTACCACAGCATTTAATTTTTGCCACTCTGATGGGTGTGAAACAGCACCTCCTTATTGTTTCAATTTGCATTTCACTAATTAAAATCTTTGACCAGTAAATGTTCATGCTTTTATACATATTTGTCAAATATATGTCTCAATTTTTTAAGAAAAATTCATCTTGTCTAAATCAGGGCAGTTCTTCCAGAGCACGTCCCCATCCCCCAAACACCCACCACAGTTGGAAAGCCGAAGTGCAGGAGGGCAGCAAGAAATCGGCTGACTTAAACAAGGAATCATTTCGGACAAAGGGCCCTAATTAATGCATTTGCTAATTAGTCTTCCCCTTCCCTCTTTTGTCAAGCCTTACTTCCAAGACAATACTATGGGCCGGCAGCCTCAGACCAGGAAAGAGAATGCGGGTGGGGAGCGCAAAAGCCAAAACATTTATATAAAAGTACTACAAATGTCTTTACTGGAAGAAAATGAAGTGATTGCAGACCAGTACCTATTACTCAACCTTGTAAGATACCATCCACCTCTAACAGACTCCTTTCAAGCCCCTGGCTCCCTCTTTGAAACATCCCAAGTTTTCTCTAGACTAGACACGGGCCCCCTCCCCTCAGCAACCCTTTTATCTCCCTTCCCCCACAATGACTAAATACCCTCTTCTTTTTCCCCATTCTACAGCTTTCTGAGCTCCACAGGACACTCTCCATTGCCCTCCCTCTCTCCTCTAGAACTCCCAAGTCCTCTTCTTCCCTTTCCAAGATATATCCACTACAGTAAAAACCACCCACCCCAAAGAAAAATGGGAGTCCCTGCAGCACATGGCCCCAACATGCCAGGCTGGAGGGTGACTTGTCCCAATCATCCCTGCTTCCTTCCCCTTCACGCCTCCGATAGCTGTTCTCCAGGGGTCCTCCATGTGTGACAGATCCAGACCACCTGGAAAAAAACTCATTCGGCCTTCTGTAGCAGAAATGCTTTTACTAGGGCCTTATACGCACTTCTGTTTTGGGGCACGAACGAAACTCGTGCCATTTCATGAAAACAAACACCTTATAGGTGTCTCCACAAAAGCGGGAAGGCCTCCCTATTAATCTCAGCTAGATTGGTTTAGTCCGGGCAGTGGTGGGCAATGTGGCCTGGCAAAAACCAAACAGTCCCCATGATGAGAAGTTTCCGAAGCTCTGCCCCATTCACTCAAGAAAGCCCTCCCCCAGGAGGCACACCCCTCATCCGAATCTCTCCCCTCTGAGGCTCCCCAAATCGGCTCCCCAGAGTACCCCCCAAGCCCTCAAAGGGGCCCCTGCTCCTTCTCTCCACCGCGCAAGAGCTCTTATCCCCGAAGCCTACCTAAAAAGCATTGGGTGGGCGTGCCTAGGACCAGGGCCTAGAGCCCCCTCCTCCGGATCAATGTCTCTCGAGTCCCGGGGGCTAGGAGTTCTTCCTCCTTCCAGCCCCCCGTCCCCGACTCGGGGCCCGCGCCGGCCCAGGGTGGCCCTGGGTCCCAGCCAGGCTACGGCTCTCACCGGCTACGTGACCTTGGGCAAGTCACTTCCCCCAGTAAGCCTTGGTTTCCTCCTCCGCCAAGCGGAGACCTAGAGAGGTCCTGCCCTGCCCACCCTAGGGGAGGGGGCTACCCACCGGGTAGGAAAACGCTTTGTGAGCCGCTCGGCGCGGCGGGGACGCAGAGCTCACAGGGTATCCGGGGCCGGACAAAGCTGACCCCAGACAACGCTCCACCCCCTCCGCGGGGCCGGAAGGCTGGACCACACGCCTTTGGGCCCCCCACCCCCGAAACCAACCCACGCCCCTCCCCGCCCGGCCCGCTCCGGGACCCCGTACCTGCTCCCGGCGCTCGGCCGCAGGCGCCGCCACCCTGGG